TATAATATTGAGTCTAGTACATCCGATCTCTATTTTCCAAGCCTTCATCGAACCCGTTAGTAAAGAAAACAATTGAAAGTTTCTATCCTATCTGGCTCTCCCCCCATCATCTCTATCTTTCCAACTTCAATTCGGCTCCCTCTCTATCTCTCCATTTTTTAATTTTTTCGTCTAATTATCTCTACTCTATCTCCTCCCACTCCAACTCAATGGAAGGTCAAAGTGTAGGGTCTAGATTCAAGGCCAAGACATGAGAAACTGAGAGTATAGGAACAATTGATTAAGGAATTAGGAGAAAAGAATTCGGTTAAAATATCAATTATTTTTTTTGGAATTTTTGGACCAAAATTTTGATATTTTTTTATTTTTTAGTATATGTTTAAATTTGCATGTTTTTAGTAGGAGAAGGTTTAATAATATATTTATTTCGAACATTTTAAATGTGAATATTGATGCATATTCTAATTTTTTACTGTACTACATTTATTGAACTGAATTTATTTGCCTCGTTCAAATGTTTTTTTTTTTGTGTGTGTGTTTTGTTATAAACTGTATATATTTAAGTTGTAAACACTAAATAGATTTATTGTTTGTTCCAAACATATATTTACATATAAATATGGTTGAATGTATTAATGTATTAATGCCCAAACTGTATTAGAAAATGCACTTGGTCTGAAAATTTCTCAAAGCATAATTTATTGGTTTGGCCTGAGATATTTTCTAAATCGTTGGCCTCCACCGTAATCTGACCCAATTTAACAAAATGCAATTTTTAAACATTTCCTGACCCTATAGGATTCAACCCAATGACCCACAAGTTGCTAATTAGAATTTTTGTATGATTTCCTTTTAATTTTGTCTTTTTTATGTTATTAATTATTAATGTGAGTCTTCTTATTGCATTTTTCATAACACATTTATGAAAATTCAAAAGCCATTAAAAATTTTCTCTGTGGAAAATATATTATACAAATGTTTCAAATTCTATCTCACATATGCAAACAATGGCTATTGAGGAGTAATATCAATTTTAAAAGAAAATTTGATAATTTATCGTTAAGGCTGTGTTTGGTTTGAACCCCTACCTTTTCCTTCAAACCAAACAAAGGGTGAGGGTATTTCGATAAAATGCCTATTCTTATGCTTTCAAAAAAAAAAAAAAATGCCTATACTTTTCTTGTCTTGATCTTTGCAATAAACAAACCCAATAATTTTGTGGTCAAAATTATAGGTTTCAAGTAAATAGAGAAACCTAAAGGGATCGAAGGTCTTAGGTAAGTTAGGTAGCAAAGCTAATTTAATTGCAGCCAAAGCTGACCTTTGCTTTACATTTTCCATTAATTTCCAATCTGGTAGAGTCCTATCCAGGGTCCAGGGATATTAACGCTGAACCTCTTTTCGAAGAGGGAATTCCCCCAATATGCATAGTTTTGTATTGTAATCAATATGTCGGACTCAGATTAGACATAAAACTGTTTTCAACATTGCTTTATGGGCCAAACGGCTTGTCTGCAGTCTGATTAAATTATTCCTCTCATTCGAATAAAAAATATAGTTTTTACCAACTCAACTTCTTAAGAACTAGGCAGCCCAAAAATTGTTTTGAATTTTTATTGCCAATAGGTCCAACCATTTGGTCCATTCCAAGTCTGACAAATTGTCCTCAGATAAGGAAAAGATCCACATTATTATTTACGGGTTACCAATTGGCCCATATTTCTTATAAAGTCATCTCAACCGTCATTTATTTTGACAAGAGATTAGGACTTGACAAATGATGAGGTGGAGGGCCTACATTCTCTTTGTAGAGTGAAAAAAAAGACAAGGAGAAATAATAAAACTACTTAGGCTGTTTGATTAATTACAGTTGAAGTGTTTGAATTGAATGGGTTTGTTGATTTATCTTTTATAAATCAAAATGGGTTTGCCGAGTTCCTTTTCTACCTTGTTGATTTATCTTTTATAAATGGGTTTGTTGATTTACTTAGGGAAAGGAAGGCAAAATAAAAATTGATTTAATTAAGTTGTGACACCTTCCTTTTTCTACCTTGTCTTTCAAACCAAATACAGCTCTAGTGAATAAGTTTGCTGAGTTCAGCTTCAGTGAGAATATTTCTGTACTTATGTGGTTTATTTAATAGGGAGATATTCTCAATGCAAGGTTATAAAAAGCTGTTAAAACAATGTGAGCACACATTTGCCTGATAGAAGTCGACCTCTAAGTTGCAAGGTCTTTAATAACTAAAATCGAAGTTGTTTTGATTAGTTATTATGCACTCAAATATTATGATATTTAAATATTTTATCCATTAAGGCTCCATTTGGGAATAGCACAAATACAAATATATTCTGGTAAATACAAATATGTGCAGTTCATACACATAGGCTTCTTTTGTATTTGCATTGAATAAATTTGTATTTGTATATTTCTCAAACATAGCATAAAAGTCAAAGCAATAAGTCATTTTAAATTAGGCACTTCAATTATTATCAAATGACCCTGAAATTTCTCACTTATGCTATGTTTGATTTGAAGGATGTAGACTTATAGAGTAGGGAAAGGAATGAAAATGCAGGAAAACCTATACAAGATTAATAAAGGTTTTTCTTCCTTTCCTTTCTTTCCCTACTTTTTCCTTCAAACCAAACATAACCTTAGGGCGTACTTACTACTATGGTGAGTTTGTGTTCTAATTAGTTTCAGAAGAATGCACTACATTGGACATGCTTTCTTTTGGAGCATGGTATGTTCTAGAACCAACAATTCATGGTTCTAAGTGCACAAAATATCATAACATTTTAAAAATGGTTATTTTTTGTGTTCTAAAACGCAACACACTTCATTACCTTCAAAATTGATTCAGTACATAGGGTTCGATTATGACACCAGAAAGACATGATCATATCAAAAGGATTTGAAATCAATCAATCAGTACTATACAAATGGTAACTGATCATATGGTATTCATCAAAATTCACATGGGTTTTGATTGGTCAAATCTCTTCTAATATCAAACTTTTATATGGGTCTAAGTCTCCACTACAGCAAACCAGAGAATAAGACACCAATTGATGGATACTATACTTTTTTTTTATTATTTTGACAGGCTACAAAATGGGAGTAGCCCATCCCCCATCCCTGAACCCCCCAACCCTGGTGGCAACAAGATTATCCCAGATCTCCCTAACAGCGAGATCATGCATACTCCTACAAATGGGGATATCATACCTCTTCAGCATTATAGATTTTCTCATTACATTTCAAAATCCAATACTTTAAGAACACACCCCACTAGAAATGGAAATGGAGCTGATTTGGAGCATGGATCATATTCCCCATCCTCGACCTTGATTCCCATTGGAGATAAAATTACCTTTCATCCTTAATCCTCAATGGAAACAGGTTCTCCATGCAAAACCATGGCAATGTAAATGATTTGAGTATAAATTTTGACCTATTTTTGTTTCAAATTTTAGCTTATTAAATAAAGATTTGCCTTTTTTTACATTTACACTCTTGTGCATTTATATTAATAAAAAAATTACACTACAACCAAACACTGCCTAAATTTTAAAATTAGGCCCATTATCTTGGAACACAACATAGAGAACATGGTACAAAAGCTGAAATAGGCTCCACAAGTTCCCCTCATCATTAATTGGCGAACTCAAATCCCTTCCCTTGCCATCTTTCAACTTGTATACAAAGTGCCAATACAGGGTAAAGGGCTGATGTGAATAGACTACAGAGCCACTACAGAAAGTGTGGATTGATCACATCACATCATACCTTCGTAACACACAACACAAGCCAGTCCCACCCAATATTTTGAACAGTCTAAGCACAATATAACTAGTCAAGCGAGTGATATCATCCGAACCGTCCAGTGTTGAATTGATTGATTTTGGAGGGAAAACTTACAAAAAGTGGGCTCCACCAGCCTCGCCATCCCCGCCCTGTTCACCTAACCTAACTATTATGCGTTCACGTGAACGGCGAAACAAAACATGTAGAGAGTAGAGAGAGATGGTCTTAGACACGTGGGCTCATGGCAGATCCACCTCTCAGCCTTGGAGAAGAGAACTGGCTGGGGCCTGGGGTTGTTCAGTTACAAGTAGTTGGAATCGGTCAGCACTCAACAGTCAGCAGCATTCAGCTGCAGCAGCAATCCCCCGGGTGGGATTGTGGGAATTGGGAAAGCACATATACTCCCTTCACTGGAGTTGGTCCCACCACGGGACATGGGAGATTCATTTAAACCCTAGCCATTGGATCCGAATACTAACCCACCGGTGGGATCCACTTGGGCCTTAATTTGAACCCGGTTGAGAGTTGAGAGTCTTGAGACCCATCACAGATGTTGGTTGCATGCCCATCTCTTGCATGTACGGCACGTGTTGCGAGATTCTTTCACGCCGTCCATGCCCGTCGCAGAGTCACAGCAGTAAGCGGCCTAGTGGCCGCTGCAGTGAAGTGTGAAGCCACCACCCTCCACTCTCTTCCCCTTCCATTCCATGGAGTCGAAAGTCGAGGAGGAGGAGGAGGAGAGGATCAGAGGAGTAAGAGAGAGTAGGGTCTAGCCATCCGTCTAGGGGAGAGAGAAGAAATGCACAGGTTGTGAGTCAGACTCTCTCTCTCTCTCTTTATCTCTCTCTCTCCTCCTCGCTAGCTATTAGCTAAAGCGTCGTCAGTCACCCTTTCAAACGCGCGAGGGAGGGAGTGATGCGCGTAAGCCATGCGAAAGCCACGCACATCCCAAACTCACTACCTCATGCAGCCGTGGCGTAGATTCTACCCTCCACCTGTTCTATTCTCTCTTAACCTTTTAACTGCCTCAACAAATGACCACCCTTATAAATATACCTCCTTTCAATGTTTCAATCTCAATTTTGGGTTCACTAAAATTCTCTTTTCCTCTCTCTCTCTCTCTCTCTCTCTTCCTCTTTTCTCTCTCCCTCCCCACATACACATACACTCACACAGCCACACTACATACAAAGTACACAAGTCATGAATAGCCAAGTTCAGGGGAGGTTCTCAGAGTTCTATGAGAAATGGCTCCACCAACTTGAAACAAACCTTCAAGAGTTGTTGTCTGTCCCAAGAGACCAGTCTCACGAGGCAAAACATCGAGCCCTGGTCATTAAAGCCGTGACCCACTACAAGGAATACTACACTGCTAAGTGGGCAGCGGCTCATGAAGACATTCTGGGCTTCTTCTGTCCCCCATGGCTGACCCCTCTAGAGAATGCTTACATCTGGATGACGGATTGGCGACCCTCGGTGGCCTTCCGCCTCGTACACTCGCTGCGACACACACATGTCCCCGGGCCGAGCCTAGAGCACATGTCGGAGGAGCAGTTGAAAAGGATGGTGGAGCTTCGGACGAGGATCAGGTCGGAGGAGCAGAAAGTGGAAATGGAAATGGAGAGGCAGCAGGTGGGGTTGGCGGACAGGCGCATGGTTGAGTTGGCTCGCCTCGCAACCCGAGTCAGAAATGGGGAGGTGGTGGGCGAGTTAGACGGGTTCGTGGATGCGGCTTTGAAGACGGTGTTGGAAGGATTGGAACGAGTGATGAAGACCGCCGATTGCCTTCGCCTGAAAGCATTGAAAGGAGTGCTGGATGTGCTCACACCCTTGCAGTGTGTGGATTTCATGGCGGCAACGTTGATGCTGAAGATTCAGATGAGAAGGTGGGGAGAGAAAAGAGAGCTTGGCCTTGGCCATGATAATTCAAACTAGCAGCTGGACCACTCGTTTTAAATTTTAATGCATGGTCACATGAGAGCTCCATGTCTCTAACAATGGAGACTATGGACTCAATGGCTCGCTTTTAGTGTTACAGACAGTTGTTCAGAATGTTTTCATGATAATGTGGATCCACAGAGTTAATATAATCCAGTCTAGAAAAATTGGAAGTTTCATAGGTTTAAAATATTGCACTTCACTTGCCTTGGGCCCTCTTTACTCTTTACAAATGGAGAAACCAATCTCTCTCTCTCTCTCTCTCTCTCTCTCTCTCTCTCTCTCTCTCCCTCTCTGAGTTCACTGCATCACTCATGCAGGCAAATCTAACTAGGATCTTCTATACCTAAATGTATTAAAAAATGTTCCAACAGAGGGAACCCGAAATCATTGCTCATTTAGGGCCCGTTTGGGAGGCTATAGCTTTGGTTAATCTGCTTTGGAAAAGCCACTTAAAAACCTTTTGGGGAAGCCATATTTTTCTAACTGTAAGACAGTTATTTAATGTGGGCTTTCTTTTTCATCTACAAGGTTCATCAATTAAATTTTTACCAAAATCCAATTTTATGAATTTATTGAAAACTTTGATAATAATCACACTGACTTTTGGGCCAGGCCCAGCCCATGTTACATGCAAGCCTGGTGAGAACCCATGTCAGACTAATTTTGAAGTTCGCCAACGTGGTTGGTTTTAAATTTTGAAATCAGAGAACAACCAACTACAGATTCACAAATGGAGTTCTCTTTGTCTAACTTGTGGATACCGATGCATCAAAATGCTGCAAATGTTTCCCATTTTGAAAATCTAAACGTAGCTTTCTAAAAAAAAATAGCTTTTTGATTTAAAAATAATAAAATATTGGTTTTCAAATATTTGCTTACGTTTTTACCATAATAATTATGTTTTCTGACGTTTTTTTTTGAAAGATAAAGTTAATATATTAGAGAGATGAAATATTTACAAATTCATTTACCCTTGCAGTTCCAACAGGATAGTCATACATAACAAAAAATTACAAAATAAAACTTCACATTTGAAAGGTTAATAACTAAGTTTCTGGTCTTCGATCACTTGCCTTAAGGCTCGAACTATCTGTTTATAAAACCAGTTCTGGATCTCTGTTAAGGCCCGCATAATAGCAAAAATTCAGCTTAATCAATAGAGGTAATTATCATATCAAAACTGAATAAAGAGTCAGACCTAAATCAATTTTCCTTATAAAGATTAAATCAATAGATTGGTTGATAGGAAGCAAAAACTATTGAGTAGTGGAATGCATATCAAAACCATGAGAAATATTGGACTCATTTTGGGCATATTAAATATAATAATAAGCAATAGTAATTCATCCTAAAATTTGCAAAAATAATTGATTGTATGTGATGATTCGTGTTTCGGTAGTTGAATAATTCTTAGCTTGGATGCCTAGTTGAAGAATTCCTACGGATGTTTAGTTTAATAATTTCTATTTGGAATGTAGCTCAGATGCCTAGCTAAATGATTCCTATCTGGAAGGTGACTCGGATGCTTGATTGAATGGTTCTTAACTGGAATGTGGCTCTGATGCATAACTGAATGGTGGCAAGTTGTATAGCTTATTGGGGCGACTTATAGGGAAACAATGTCAGAGTGCCTAGGTTGTTTTACCAAGGGTGGCCACTCCGATGCTTAACTCAGCGAGTTGGAGATTTTTTAAGAGAGCTAAAAGCTAGATAGAGAGCTGCGAGAGCTAAATTGTGCATCTACCTTCCGAGGTTGGAGGTAAGACCCTTATATAGGTATTGTTTGGCGTGGGTTTCACGCATCACGTTCAAGATGTCCGGAAAAATGTGCCTAACTGATCCGAAGTCCTCAGAGGTAGTTTTGCACATAGGCCAATCTTTGTGCCTTACTCAATTTCCTCTGAAACATCCGGTGTGAGAGATGACATCCGAGAAACCTAGGAGTGACGAGATGCATGCAGAGTTGTTCAGCGAGCATGTCTCGCAGGTTGCCACCTGGACCTCAATTAGGTCAGCAAGCCCTCGAGGGAGGTCACTCCTCACGTTGATGTTACTTCAACCAGTACTAACGAGGTACCACAAGTTGGCCCTAGGCGAGGTGCTGCTAGCCGTGCACGTTAGGGTGCCCGAGTGTAGACAAGGTCACCAGGTCGCCAAATCGGCGATAGAGGCATGTTGCCAGTCGGCAGTAGAGGCAAGTCGCGAGGTGGGCGGCAGAGGTAGGTAGCCAGGTCAGCAACGGATGCAGGTCGCCAGGTCAGCAGCCGATGCAGGTCGCCAAGTAGGAGGCGGAGGCAGGTCACCAAGTCAGTGATAGAGGCAAATAGGTCACCCTGAGACTCCATCATTTTGGCTAAGACAAATCATCGCCTAGATGATACCAGTGTGTCATCCAACTATTTTGAGATGCCATGTATCATGATGTCAGTAGAGGGTCAATTCTACCCTCATTAGTATTTAATCAAAGTATAACGGTTATTTATACAAAGACACCCAGGAGCCTTGAAATATATTATTAAGATGTAAGTTCCTTTGGTACTGCAAAGAAAATAGCTTGAGTATATTTACAATCAATAAATAGATGCAAAAAGGATTCTATTGCTTCATGACATAGAACACAAAGTTTATCTTGAAATGTCTTTTCTGACCTGGCACCCTGATTTAGTGTGTCATATTTACACAAGAGACAAGACTTCTCTCTATAGTACTCAACCACTCAAAAATAAGTCTTTTTTTGGTAGAAGTACAACACGAGCAAGGGGTTAATGTTGAGCTTGGAAGGAAAAAAATAAATTACCTATCATAGTTGCTCTTTTTCATTGGGTATCACCTCCTCTCTAATAAAATCTTTTAAAAGGCATGAAACTGTCTAAAATACCTTATTTTTGACAAAAATGATTGTTTATAAATTTTCTATTCATATGAATTATTACTCCAAACTTATTTATATTTCAAATTTATCTTTCATATCAATAAGTCATTCTCTTTGTTTGTATTGTTTAAGTTTTTATTATTTTTTCATAGAAATCAGTCTTAATAGTAATTTTATCAGTATTTTAGACATTTTTATACCTTTTTCAGAAGAATTCTACCAGAGGGGTATTTTGCAACTGTATCAGTACCCTTTTTCATTTTAAACAGGCTTACAAGAATAACTATAATTTTTTTTACTTTTAATAGCTTAGGAATAAATCGTTTTCTTTTCAGAAAAATAATTGAACATTAATGAATTCTCATTTTATTTTCATTCTTGCTTTAAACCCAAATTTACTGTTATGTGCATTTATATGTTAATCCCCAACTTGGGAGTGACAAGCAGGTGTTGATGCATAGAGTGTGGGTTGTTGACATTTTGAATGTTTATAACTTTGTAATGAAAATCAGAAATCTGCATTGATCCCGTTTGTACTTTTCCATTATTTTTAAGTATTTATTTGAATAAGTAATTATTAATTATTTTAAATGAGATTGTACTAATAAGTAGCTCTTGAGAAAAAAAAAGACAAAAATACTTATTTCAGTTTTTTTTAGCTTCATGGGGCTACACAACGGAAGGTAGCCCACCGCCCCACCCCATCCCCTTAAAATCCCAACCTTGGTGGCAGTGGGATTTGATTATGCTACAATAAGTCCATTTTAAAAACTCAAAATTTTGACTTAGTGGGTGTTTAGTTTTGTGGACATTTATTCAATAAACATTATCATTTCAGCAATTTCCCTTACTCTTTTGCTCTTTTATATGCATCCAGAATGGTAAAATTGGACTTTGATTTTTTTACACACCTACCGTTTAAAAAAGTTATTTTTTTTTAACTTTCACAAATAATTAGGCATTTTTTCATTGTTATGCTCATGTAGTGCTTAGTGGCGTTAAATTATCATAAACGATTATAATTACTATCTTTCTCAATTTTACAAACAAATAAAATACAAACATTAAATAAAAAAACATAAACATAACCAAATGGGGGTTAAGATAATGTATTTAATATTTTTTACATCAAACACTGAATAGCACTTATTGATATACTTATTATTATAAGCACTTATTTATTTAATAGATACTCTCAAACGGGGGTTAAGATAATGTATTTAATATTTTTTATCTAAATCGAATTGGTAAATAATTACTTTATATTAAAAACACATTTCTTACTTTTTATAATCAGAAAAAAAACATTCACGTTGAAAAACACGCTTAATTAAATATTTCAATTATTGATAATTAATTTCGTTTCGTTTATTACTGAAAAATCGTTTTGTTTAGTTTTTCACTTTTGCTAGACCAGTAGTGCAGTCTCCCTTCCCCAAAGAACAATTCGTGTTTATCCACGTAGACTGCACGCGCCAGCTACTTGTGTAACGGTTGCCAAAACCTCCTGTATAAAATCCCAAACTCACACTCTGCTCCTCTGCTCTGTACTCTCTGTCGTCTCTCTCTCCTCCTCTCAGGCTCGGCTCAGATCATGAACCCAATACCAGCCAAAACATTTTTCGAGCGCTTCCACAATACATGGCTTCAGCATCTCCACCTCCTCCTCAGTCAACTCTCCGCCGCTCCAAAACCCACCAGCCCTGAAGACCACCGATACCTCAGCCAACTCGCCGACCGGGTCATGACTCACTACGAGGACTACTACCGAATCAAGTCCCACGCCGCCAAGCACGACGTTCTCGCCATGTTCAGCGCCCCCTGGACTACCTCACTGGAGAGCTCCTTGCACTGGATAGCCGGGTGGCGGCCTACCACCGTGTTCCACATCGTCTACACCGAGTCCAGCGTCAGATTCGAGGCCCAAATCGTTGATCTCCTCCGTGGCCACCGTACCGGCGACCTTGGGGATCTGACACCACGTCAACTCACACGAGTCAGCGAGTTGCAATGCCAGACGGTGAGGGAGGAGAACGAGATAACCGAGGAGCTGTCCCAGTGGCAGAACAACTCGTGCGACCTCGTCTCCCCGTCCGCCAATATGGAGGCGAATATCGAACGGTTGGTGGAGGTGCTGGAGAAGGCGGACGATCTACGGCTGAAAACGCTCCGGAGAGTTGTGGAGATCTTGACCCCACAGCAGGCCGTCGAGTTCTTGATCGCCACAGCCGAGGTACAGCTTGGCATTCGTGGGTGGGGGCTAGAGAAGGACCGTAAGCGAGAGAGCATGTGATCGGGATCTGATTCCGACCTCATATCATCACTTGCACTCTTTAATCTGCATGTTATGGTCTTCAACTCTTCGTTCATCTATGGTGTAGGAGATCAGAATTCCATTCGTTCACCATTTTTCTGTATCTGTATGTCTCTCTCTATCCATCAGTGATAGGGGGTCCCGCCTTTTTCATATTTCATTCCATCAAAGCCGTTCATTCATTCGCTATGTGTACCTGTGAACTGTGATTTAGAAAGTAGTACGTCGACGCGGCGTAGCGAAACGCATGCACAAAAACCTAAGAAGTAGAGAATGAACCAATTAGGGGGGGCCCAGGCTGCATGATTCCACCTGACGAAACAGTAGTCATAATGCATGCGTTGCCTCACGCAACCAGGTGCTCTCTCTCTCTCTCTAAAGAAACTGTTTCGTCACTCGTCAGCTCCCCCCCCAGAGAATGAAATTTGTATTTCAATCTGGCATGCAGGGAGACACGTGTGTGGAAGGCACCACGTGTCCATGAACGAATGCAGTATAGAGGTGGAGGGTCTGGGTGCCTCCGAAAGTTTGCAGGTCGTCAAATTGGAATATTTCTTTCTTAGCATACTGGTGGCCGTGGCCTCCACCTTGTATCATATATATAGTGATTGGTGAATGATGCCCTACTAGATAGTAGATATTGGACCCCTAGACCCTAGTTGTTGTTGGCCGGTGGGGCAGTGTTGGCAGACCGGATCGGCCGAAAATTGATTGAACCGGTCGAGTCCACAAAACCCATCAGAAAACCGGTTTCAGCTTGTTTGAAACCAAGCTATACATGAGATATCATGTAGGAGAACGATTCTCTATCTGAGATCAAGCTTTTGAAGATAAAGAATTGAGCTCTCACTCACTTTTGTTTTTTGGCTACTAGAACTCTGACTCACTTGGAGATTATATTTATAGGATTAGCAAATCTTTCTAGTTTAATTTTATTTTAATAGAACACGCAGTTTCCAACTTGATCTGCTTACAATCCATATCTATTTCTATGTCGAGCCAAGTTAAACAATAAAATGAGATACAGAGAGAAATGAGGTGGGCATGTTTGGGTCTTTTACAGATTTTTTTAAGAAAAAATAATCATTTTTTTTTTTGGGAGTTAGAGGAGGGTTAGAGAGTGATCGTTTGGTTTGTGGGAATGGGAGTCTGGAATCGAAATCAGCTATTTCAATTCTAACATGGAATCGAAATCCCATTTTTCAATCTCATTTTCCCTGCCCTTCGAGAATGAAATTCCACTTCAATTCTTATTCCCATTCCTATCTGAACCAATCCGATCTACCTTTGAGAATGAAATTCAATTCTCATTTCGATTCTGCAAATCAGACGGACTCTTAGCGTTAGAATATGTTCCTGATTCTAGTGGCCCGGCCCACTCTCATGATGCTGAGCCTGAGTGTTCTGTTTTCTCTAATAAGGTGTATGAGAATAATGGTCGAATTACCTTTATAGACATAATTTACATAGATAAGGAGGAGAGAGAGGAGGTCCATACACACACCCCCCCTTAAGCACAGTCGGGAGAGACATGGTGAGCTTGTGTTTGGTGAGAACATCTGCTATTTGATCCGTTACATCAAGATGTTTAGCTGCAATTTTCTCCCGAATGAAGTGGATATCCAATTCGATGTATTTGGAGCGAGAATAAAGTGCATGATTGTTAACAAGAAATTTAGCCCCTATGTCACACCATATTAAAGGAGTTGCAGAGAGGGAGATACTTAGTTCTTAGAGGAGCAAATGAAGCCACAAAATCTCAGTAGCCGTAGAGGCTAAGCTACGATATTCTGATTCAGTGCTGGATCGAGCCACTGTAAGTTGAGAAATTAGGTTAGGACCAAGAAACACACAATAACCACTGGTACCTTTTAGATATCGAAGAATCCTCTTTACAGCAGCCCAATGGATCGTAGTAGGAGATTGCATGAACTAATATATCTTATTTACAGCAAAAGCAATTTTTGGATGAGTAATGGTTACATACTAGAGAGCACCAACAATACTGTAGAAGAAAGGTTGATCAGTGAGGGGTTCACCCTCCGATTTGGTGAGACAACTGGAGGCTGGCATAGGAGTGGAGAGAGGTTTGGCATCATGAAGTTGTCCTCGATGCAGAAGATCATCAATATACTTATGCTAAGAGATGAAAACCATTCGATGATCGGTGAAGTTCAACACCTAGAAAATAATGTGCAGAGGCCAAATCATGAATAGAAAACTGAGAAGCAAGATGTTGAATGAGGGTGTTAGTAGTAGAGGAAGAGGATCCTGTAATGATGATGTCATCCACATAAATAAGAATTAAAATGATGTCAGATCGAAAACGGGAGATAAAAAGGGAGGCATCAGCACGAGATTCTAGAAATCCAAGAAAGAGAAGAAATTCACACAACCTAATGAACCAAGCTCAAGGTGCCTATTTCAAACCATAGAGAGATCGATGGAGACGACAAACATGTGTTAAACCATAGAGAGATCGATGAAGACGATAAACATGTGTTTGAAATCTATGATCAACAAAGCTAATTGGTTGTTTCATATATATTTCTTCTGAAATGTGGCCCTGTAGAAAGGCATTACTAACATCCAATTGGCGAACATCCCAATTAAAGGAAACAACAAGAGATAGTACTATGTAAATGATGGCTGGTTTGACAACAGGACTGAATGTCTCATCATAGTCAAGGCCAGCTTCCTGAGAGAAGCCTTTGGCAACAAGTCGCGCTTTGAAACACTCAATCGAACCATCAGGCTTGTGCATGATTTTAAAAACCCATTAGTTGTCAATAATATTCTTATCAGGTGGGGCTGGGACAAGAGTCCAAGTTTTATTTTGAAGTAAGGCTCTATACTCATCAGTCATTGCAGGAACCCATCGAGGATCCTTGTGAGCTTGAGAATAACAAGTTGGTTCAGATTTAGGAAGAGGACTAGCAAGTAAGGCATACCTCAGATTGGGCTTGAATATACCATGTCGAGATCGAGTGGTTATCGGATGCAAAGAAGAAGAAGGTGGTAAAACGAAAGCAACAGATTCAGTAGTGGAAGTGGAAGGTGGGGGCACAACATCCTAAGGAGACAATGGAGAGGATGAAACTTCGCCTGGCAATGCAGTGTCTGAATCAGCAACAAGGGGAGGAGCCCCAACCGGAGGAGGTGGAGTCAAGGATGGTGGTGATGCAGTATCCGTGGTATGGAGAAACAGAAAATAACCCCCCTTAAAAATAACATTGTAAGAGATGAAGATTCGTCCCGTAGAGTGATGCAAACAAACATATCCTTTATGAGAATTAGAATACCCAAGAAATACACATGAAAGAGAGTGAGATTGTAATTTGTACTTATTATATGGCCGAACATGTGGAAAGCATTCACAACCAAAGGCACGAAGTTCGAGGTAGTCCAGAGGACGACCGAATAATTTCTCAAACGGAAAGCATGATCCAAGAACCAAACTAGGAAGCCGATTAATGAGATAGGCGGTAGTAGAGAAGGCTTCGAACCAATATTTAGGAGGGACTCCAACATGAGTCATAAGAGCAATACCAGTCTCAACAATATGGTGATGTTTGCGTTCAGCTCGCCCATTTTGTGCCTATGTATATGGATAGGATATACGGCGAGAGATACCCACATGATTAAAATAATTTTCAAAGGTCTTAATTTCAAAGCCACCATCACTTTGAAAATATTTAATTTTAGAATCAAGTAGTAATTCAACATTAGCTTTAAATTTCAAGAACACATTAAAAGCCTCATATTTGCAGGTGAGTGGAAAAATCCAACTATACCAATTGAAATCATTAACAAAAATAACATAGTAATGATAGGCAGAAGCAGATGTCATTGGAGAGGGTCCCCATAAGTCATAATGAATTAATTCCAAAAGAGATTTACTAATAGTATGGTTTATGGAAAAATGAAGTACATGACTTTTGGCCATTGAGCAAGCTGAACAAAAATTAAATGCAATACTAGAAATTATCGGTAAATGCTAAGAAGAAATAATTTCTTAATCATATCCATCATAGTCAGAATGGATTTGCAGTTTATTGAGATCTGAAGTGAGGTGATGTGTTGCTCCAGAATCAGGAAACCAGATATTTGTATTCTGCTTGTTGCTGCCGGAAGCAGTCGTAAATGCCAGGGATTGTGGTCGTTTAGGGCTCTTCAAACTGTCAATATGTGCAAGGAGTTTCTGACAATACCTAGCAAAATGATTTCGTCCTCTACAAATCTGGCAGGGATTATTACTGTATTTTGAGGGCTTGGTGGATCCATTACCAATTTGAGGTATATCAACTTTATTATATTTCTTGGAATCTTTCCCTTTAGAGGCAAGATTCGCAAAAGGAGAGGTAGCTTGTGCAATTACTGAATGAAGCAAACAATTTTCATGAGTGATAAGCATGCCTTGTAAGCTAGCAAATGATAGTCCATCTGTTCGGGTAATGATAGCTATAGAGAAAGCATCATAGTCTGGACCGAGGCCATTGAAAGCATGATGAATTAGCTGCGAATTTGTCAGAGGCTCTCCAATTGCGGCTAGCTTGTCACCAAGTACCTTGAGGTTTTGCAAATAGTCAGTCATGGAGAGATCATTCTTTCATAGTGCTCCGAGTTCGTTTTTGAGACCAACGGCACTAGCTGTTCATCGAGGAGAATAAAGGCTCTCGAGGGTTTTCCAAACATCCTTGCTGGTTTTGCTTCCCACGACCTGCGCTAGTGCTATTTCCATCAGAGATGATAACAGCCAGTTAAAAATATAACGATCCTGCTTAACCCATTATGTTTAGGGTTCTGTCATCGAGTGAGATGGACAAGGGGTTGTCCCATCGACATATCCAAGGAGCTCATGGCTCAGAAGGGCATTTTTAACCTGAAAATTACATACAATATAGTTGGAACCATCCAACCAAACCGAAATCAACTGAGGAATGTGATTCCTCGATGCTCCGAAGTTTATTTGATTGATCGAATTGGTAGACATGTTGGAAGACATGACAAAAAACCTGAAGAAGAAAAAAGAAAAACTACTTAAAAAGGAGAGAAAAATGAAACAAAGAACTGCTTATGGCTCTGATACTATATGAGAATAATGGTCGAATTACCTTGTTTGTCTGTCATTACTGATATTTATAGAGTACAAGAGTGGGTAAGTCCTATCTTAGTTAGGATAGATTAGATATAATCCTAATTGGGATAGAGCTTATCTTACTAGGATAAGTTTATCCAGAGATAATCTACAGAGATAAGGATTATTTACAAAAGAGAGAAATACAGTATGAGAGGTAATTACAATATAAACTGAAGTGGGAGTCTACGGGGTGAAGGGGGAGAGAGAGGAGGTCCACGTGTATGCACCATGCAGTGCATGTGCCATGCATGTTATTGTTTACAAGGTGTTGAGGCTGTTGCGTTTGAAAGCGGTGTGAATGTATTTTTACACCGATGGAGTTATACATCGATTGGTTTAAAAGTGAGTATCATTGCTGCAAATTTCACATTATTTTTATCAAAGTTACATGTACACTGGAGTTATACATCGATTAGTTTAAAAGTTTTAAATACGAATCAGTATTATTGACGTAATATTTACATAATTTTTATTGAAGTTATATTTACACCGATTATCCATATAAAACTTGATATGCTTGGAGTTATATATTGATTTTCAGTGTTTAATTATACTCCGTGGTTTCATGGAAGTTTCAGGTTTTTGGAACGGGAACTTATTCTGTGAGTTCTTGCCTTAGTGGTTTCAGGTCGGTTCCAGGGTTTACCCATGCCACGTGTTGCTAGGTCAGTGAAGGGCCAATTCACCCCTCATCAAATAGGATTTTAGAAGATGTTAAACTCTCAATCTAAAAAAGATTTATTCACTCAAAAAAAAAAGTGATAATTCCACTTTCTTAAAATTCACACACTTAGCATCCTAATCCTAAAAAGTGGTCACTTCAAATGTTATGGTAGTAACTGAATTTTATTCAAAGACAATCATTTTAAAAGTAATGATTAAACAATTAATTTAACTTAAAAATATTCAAAATATTAAATGGATAAAAATAAATGAAATTCATAAAAATGACTAAACAATTAATACAAATGGTGTAAAAAATGACTAAACAATTAATTGCAAACTAGGTTTAACTTTTTTGAAGACTTTGAAGTCATTTGTGTGGAAGAGGCCCTAATTACCTTTTCTCTAAACTTCTTTATTTTTTTCGTTTCATTTTTTACTTATTTATTGGTTGAAAGGGAAATTTCTATTCTGTTGTTCAATGAATTTTCATGCCTCAACTCAACACAATGAATAGCATGCCCACTAGCTTTGGGTTGAGTGTCAGGCTTCTTTTTGAGAACGTTCCAGTTAATGCAAACTTCATTTTTCTACTTGGGCTCGTAGGAACATTGAAAACTTTTTCTAGTAAAATTAAGGAAATAGTGGGCAAACCCACTATGGCCAAAATTGATGTATTTGAACTTTTGAAGAGAACTGCCTACCGATTGTATTTGGGCTGCATGGAAAGCACATATTCAAGGGACAAACTATAGAGAGCATCCTATTATAATCGAGGGTGATTCATTATTGGTCATCTCGTGCCTCGGCAAAAAGGTGGAAGTTCCTTGGAATTTGAAAGGTATCATCTCTTGTTTCTTGAGGAGGAGAGTTCTATTTGAGGGAGGTCTTTGGTACTAGCATTTTTCAGAGAAGCTAACTAGGTGGCAGATTGGCTTGCTCATGAGAAGCTCTTTCTTCTTCTACCCCTTAACCTAGATTTTTGTATCAATTCCCTTCCCCCTTCCCTTCTTATTTGTTTTGCAGATTTTTGAGGACATACTACCCCCCGTTGTGTGTAGTACACTTCTTCGCTTTTCAAAAAAAAAAGATAAACTTTTGAAAATGGAGTTATTTTAGCAACAATAGGCCCACAATGATTGGCTGTAACCTGTAAGCTGGTGACAGACAAACCAAATTCTTTCATCTTTCCATGGTAAATTGAAAGCGCCACAATGGCATTCATTATTGGTTTTGTGACAACCATGTTGTAAGAGGGTGGCTTTACATAAGTACACAATTCAGCCAACTCGGGAATTGAACCCAGGCCAATTTGGTTAATTAAATTTAAGTACTCAATTTTCCAATACAATACCATTTAATTTTTTTTTTATAGAAACCGAGAGGGGCTACACAAGACGGAGGATAGCACATCCCCATAAATCAAACTTACAAATACAAGCTAAATTCCATGGAAGATCACTAAGATTGAGACTTACTATACCCTATTGAAAAGAAAAAGATTGATTGGCGGGCCAGTCTGCCACTTGATTAGCTTCTTGATACACATGATTGTAAACCAAGTCTTCATTTGCTGGATTCTTCAAATCCAAACACTCTTCAATGATGCTTCGTAGATTCCAGGGGGGGGTCGATCATGCTTCAAGAAATCACGATCAAGGAATCGCCTTCAATGATAATGGAATGGTTAGGGAAATTCATTGCCAAGTTGTGGGCCTCCCATGCGGCCCAAGCTTCCGCCAAGTTGATTGTCGTTGAACCTAAGTAGTAAGCCTTGTAATCTACCACCTCACCCATGAAGTTCCTAGCTATGGTTGCGATTGAGCACAACTCATTGTTTAGTTGGGATGCATCAAAATTTATTTTGATAATACCAATTTTTGGAATTTGCCACAGAACATACTTGCATGACTTATAGGAATCAACTCTATTAGGCTTCAAATTAATGTGCACAACTAAGGGATGAACATTTTAGAAATAAAGGTGCATCCAAGCCATCTTATTCTATAAGAAGAATAAAACATGTGACCTAAATGACTAAACAAAGAATATTTACTACAAGAAAAATGGTTAAAGCCAGCGGTCCTTGTGACCGCCGCTATAGGCATATCTAAGGCGGGCCATAATACCTTCGGCGGATTTTATAGTCAAACCGGAATTGGGATAAGGCTATGTTTAATTGACTTGAGCTTTGACTATGCAATCCTATTTCTTTTAAGATATTTGTAGCATTTAATCTGTGAAAACTTTTTCAGGGTGCTGGTTCTGGTGCTCAAAGGGATGTTTCTTTCTTATCATGGAATGACAAGGTTCGACATATACTTGCATCCACTTCACATAATGGGACGCTAGGTGGACAATGAATATATATTTATTTTCCAGAATATTTTAGAAACCTATATAGAATTTGCGCATTGTTTATCTGAGAGTGAATGTTTTTCTACTATTTTCAGTGGTGTGGCACTTTTCTGGTAATGAATCTATGTGTCTTATTATTAAGGATTTTGGTCCTATTATCATAGTCTTATCTTATAAATATTATCAATTTTAGTCTAAGTAATGCTTTTATGATATTTATAACAGTTGTGGGATATGAGGAACATACTTCATTTCTCCTTTTTCTTAATTTGTTGATGTTATATTTTGTTTTCTTGCCGTTTCTTTTTCTTTTTTGGATTTTATTTCCATCACTTGATTTTGCTGGTTAAAGATGTTTAGTAGGAATTGGAGATATGAAGCAATTAGAGATTGGTAGAGATTTAGAAGTTGGAGTTTTGTTTTGGGTGGGTTGGGTTTCTTAACAATAGAAGATTTTTATTTCCATCACTTGATTTTTCTTTAAGAAGACTTTTCTTCACAATAGAAAATATATTTTTTTGATGTTTATAAGTTCTGAAATCCCCTTCGGCAAAATTCATGGATTTAGATTTATACAGAACTGAAAAAATGGTGAAATGTGAACCTCTTTTTTAGGTTCCGTTGCATGATGCTTTCATGAATCTATGTTTCACATAAATAATTCTGTGGTTAGGAAGACTTGTTTGTTTCTACAAAACCATTATGTGGTAAAAATTCACTAATTACTCACTATGAGATATACTCAACTGTTATACCTGTGAAGTATGCTAGAATCACTTATTGCAAAACTTGAATGCATTATCTATACTGTGGTTGACATCTGGTGCCTCATGCAGTTATGCTTATTTCCTGATTTCTTTTTTTATTGCTAAATATAAAAAGTTCAAAATCTTGATACACTTTTGTCACTATTTTTGTTTTCTGGATTTTCCTCTTATGGACTATATGCCCTGTGTTCCTTTCTTTCTTTCTGTATGCATTCCTAGTTTCCACTTTTTTTTTCCTGTGGCATGACTGTTGATTTGCATCATGGCCGAGTTTGGTAAGTGGTGATTGTTTAGATGGCATTCTGCAATTCAGCCCAAATTCTAAAGCCCGTTCTAAACAACCACCAACTTTTTATCAGACAATTCAGAAATCAGCTTCAACAATCTGCAAGAGACCTGGAGAGTTGAGACTAAACTCTAAAGCCTACTACACCGATGCCAGGTACAATACCAGAAATCTATAGTGCCACAGGCCTTCAACCCATGGATTGATGTACTTGAGTATAGGCCTTTGTGAACAAGTCCAGGCCCTACATGTGCCAATATGGGCCGAGGGGGAGGAGATAACTTTATTGATAAATCCACTAATTGCCACTCGTAGGGTGGGAATTGGGACCCATCATATATGATTTCTCTATCCTTAGATTTTGGTCAAAGTCAAATCTT